TTCACGGACCCGTCGTCCAGCCGTATATTGCGAACGAGGATTCGCGCACGGGCGCCAACGAACCAGCGTCAACGCGGGATGTCCAGTAGGACTTATCGTTTAGAGAAAAGAGAAGCCGTAACAAGGGTTCTATAGGCGAACCTGCGAAAGGATCATTGTCGATGTCTGTCCCGGCAGACAACAGCGAATTCATGACCCGACGAGCGAATGCCGATCAGGCCGTCCATCGGAACAGAGTGGGCGCCCCAAAAAAATCCTGCGCAGATTTTCGTGAATATGTAGGCTACCAAAATGGATTTCCTGCGATGCAGGTCGCGGCAAAAACTCACGAACGACGACCTTGTCCGCCGTTCACGGACCCGTCGTCCAGCCGTATATTGCGAACGAGGATTCGCGCACGGGCTCCGACGAACCAGCGTCAACGCGGGATGTCCTGTAGGACTTATCGTTTACAGAAAAGAGAACACGTAACAAGGATTCTATAGGCGAACCTGCGAAAGGATCATTGTCGATGTCTGTCCCGGCAGACAACAGCGAATTCGTGACCCGACGAACGAATGCCGATCAGGCCGTCCATCGGAACAGAGTGGGTGCCCTAAAAAACTCCTGCGCGGATTTTCGCGAATATGTAGGCAGCCAAAATGGATTTCCTGCGATGCAGGTCGCGGCAAAAAGTCGCGAACGAAGACCTTGTTCGCCGTCCACGGACCCGTCATCCAGCCGTATATTGCGAACGAGGATTCGCGCACGGGCGCCGACGAACCCGCGTCAACGCGGGATGTCCAGTAAGACTTATCGTTTAGACAAAAAGGACACGAAACTAAGATTTTATAGGCGAACCTAGGAAAGGATCATTGTCGATGTCTGTCCCGACACACAACAGCGAATTCGTGACCCGACGAACGAATGCCGATCAGGCCGTCCATCGAAACAGAGCGGGTGCCCTAAAAAACTCCTGCGCGGATTTTCGCGAATATGTAGGTAGCCAAAATGGATTTCCTGCGATGCAGGTCGCGGAAAAAATTCGTGAACGACGACCTTGTCCGCCGTTCACGGACCCGTCGTCCAGCCGTATATTGCGAACAAGGCTTCGCGCACGGGCGCCGACGAACCCGCGTCAACGCGGGATGTCCAGTAAGACTTATCGTTTAGAGATAAAAGAACACGTAACAAGGATTTTATAGGTGAACCTGCGAAAGGATCATTGTCGATGTCTGTCCCTGAAGACAACAACGAATTCGTGACCCGACGAACGAATACGGTCAGGCCGTCCATCGAGACAGAGTGGGCGCCCAAAAAAAGTCCTGCGCGGATTTTCGCGAATATGTAGGCATTCAAAATGGATTTCCTGTGATGCAGGTCACGGCAAAAAGTCGCGAACGACGACCTTTTCCGCCGTTCACGGACCCGTCGTCCAGCCGTATATTGCGAACGAGGATTCGTGCACGGGCGCCGACAAATCCGCGTCAACGCGGGATGTCCAGTAAGACTTATCGTTTAGACAAAAAGAACCCGAAACTAAGATTTTATAGGCGAACCTGCGAAAGGATCATTGTCGATGTCTGTCCCGGCAGACAACAGCGAATTCGTGACCCGACGAACGAATGCCGATCAGGCCGTCCATCGAAACAGAGTGGGTGCCCTGAAAAACTCCTGCGCGGATTTTCGCGAATATGTAGGCAGCCAAAATGGATTTCCTGCGATGTAGGTCGCGGCAAAAAGTCGCGAACGACGACCTTGTCCGCCGTTCACGGACCCGTCGTCCAGCCGTATATTGTGAACGAGGATTCGCGCACGGGCGCCGACGAACCCGCGTCAACGCGGGATGTCTAGTAAGACTTATCGCTTAGACAAAAAGAACACGTAACTAGGATTTTATAGGCGAACCTGCGAAAGGATCATTGTCGATGTATGTCCCGGCAGACACAGCGAATTCGTGACCCGACGAACGAATACGGTCAGGCCGTCTATCGAGACAGAGTGGGCGCCCAAAAAAACTCCTGCGCGGATTTTCGCAAATATGTTGGCATTCAAAATGGATTTCCTGCGATGCAGGTCACGGAAAAAAGTCGCGAACGACGACCTTGTCCGCCGTTCACGGACCCGTCGTCCAGCCGTATATTGCGAACGAGGATTCGCGCACGGGCGCCGACGAACCCGCGTCAACGCGGGATGTCCAGTAAGACTTATCGTTTAGACAAAAAGAACCCGAAACTAAGATTTTATAGGCGAACCTGCGAAAGGATCATTGTCGATGTCTGTCCCGACAGACAACAGCGAATTCGTGACCCGACGAACGAATGCCGATTAGGCCATCCATCGAAACAGAGTGGGTGCCCTAAAAAACTCCTGCGCGGATTTTCGAGAATATGTAGGCAGCCAAAATAGATTTCCTGCGATGCAGGTCGCGGCAAAAAGTCGCGAACGACGACCTTGTCCGCCGTTCACGGACCCGTCGTCCAGTCGTATATTGCGAACGAGGTATCGCGCACGAGCGCCGACGAACCCGCGTCAACGCGGGATGTCCAGTAAGACTTATCGTTTAGAGAAAAAAGAACATGTAACAAGGATTTTATAGGCGAACCTGCGAAAGGATCATTGTCGATGTCTGTCCCGGAAGACAACAACGAAATCGTGACCCGACGAACGAATACGGTCAGGCCGTCCATCGAGATAGAGTGGGCGCCCAAAAAAACTCCGGATTTTCGCGAATATGTAGGCATTCAAAATAGATTTCCTGCGATGCAGGTCACGGCAAAAAGTCGCAAACGACAACCTTGTCCGCCGTTCACGGACCCGTCGTCCAGCCGTATATTGCGAACGTGGATTCGCGCACAGGCGCCGACGAACCCGCGTCAATGCGGGATGTCCAGTAAGACTTATCGTTTAGACAAAAAGAACACGTAACTAGGATTTTATAGGCGAACCTGCGAAAGGATCGTTGTCGATCTCTGTCCCGGCAGACAACAGCGAATTCGTGACCTGACGAACGAATGCCGATCAAGCCGTCCATCGAAACAGAGTGGGTGCCCTAAAAAACTCCTGCGCGGATTTTCGCGAATATGTAGGCAGCCAAAATGGATTTCCTGCGATGCAGGTCGCGGCAAAAAGTCGCGAACGACGACCTTGTCTGCCGTTCACGGACCCGTCGTCCAACCGTATATTGCGAACGAGGATTCGCGCACGGGCGCCGATGAACCCGCGTCAACGCGGGATGTCCAGTAAGACTTATCGTTTAGAGAAAAAAGAACACGTAACAAGGATTTTATAGGCGAACCAGCGAAAGGATCATTGTCGATGTCTGTCCCGGCAGACAACAGTGAATCGTGACCCGACGAACGAATACGGTCAGGCCGTCCATCGAGACAGAGTGGGCGCCAAAAAAAACTCCTGTGCGAATTTTTGCGAATATGTATGCAGCCAAAATAGATTTTCTGCGATGCACGTCGCGGCCAAAAGCCGCGAACGACGACCTTATCCACCATTCACGGACCCATCGTCCAGCTGTATATTGCGAACGAGAATTCGCGCAAGGGCGCCGACGAACCCGCGTCAACGCGAGAAGTCCAGCAAGACTTATCATTTAGAGAAAAAAGAACACGTAACATGGATTCTATAGGCGAACCTGCGAAAGGATCATTGTCGATGTCTGTCTTGGCAGACAACAGCGAATTCGTGACCCGACGAACGAATGCCGGTCAGGCTGTCCATCGAGACAGACTGGGCGCCCCAAAAAACTCCTGCGCGGATTTTTGTGAATATGTAGGCCGCAAAAATGGATTTCCTGCGATGCACGTCGCGCCCAAGAGTCGCGAACGACGACCTTGTCCGCCGTTCATGGACCCCTCGTCCAGCTGTATATTGCGAACGAGGATTCGGGCACGGGCGCCGACGAACCCGTGTCAACGCGAGAAGTCCAGTAAGACTTATCATTTAGAGAAAAGAGAACACGTAACAAGATTTCTATAGGTGAACCTGCGAAATGATCATTGTCGATGTCTGTCCCGGCAGACAACAACGAATTCGTGACCCGACGTACGAATGCCGGTCAGGCCTTCCATCGAGACAGAGTGCGCGCCCCAAAAAACTCATGCGCAGATTTTCGCGAATATGTAAGCAGAAAAAATGGATTTCCTGCGATGCACGTCGCAACCAAAAGTCGCGAACGACGACTTTGTCCGCGGTTCACGGACCCTTCGTCCAGCCGTATATTGCGAACAAGGATTCGCGCACGGGCGCCGACGAACCCGCGTCAACGCGAGAAGTCCAGTAAGACTTATCGTTTAGAGAAAAGAGAACACGTAACAAGGATTCTATAGGCGAACCTGCGAAAGGATCATTGTCGATGTCTGTCCCGGCAAACAACAACGAATTCGTGGTCCGACGTTCGAATGCCGGTCAGGCCGTCCATCGAGACAAAATGGGCGCCCCAAAAAACTCATGCGGGAATTTTCGTGAATATGTAGGCAACAAAAATGGATTTCCTGCGATGCACATAGCGGCCAAAAGTCGCGAACGACGACCTTGTCCGCCGTTCACAAACCCGAATTTAAAAATAAAAATTTTAAAAAAAGTAATTTATTATTATTGTTGAATTTCTTTATTCAATTTATTTTTATGGTACAATTTTTTTCTTTTATAAATATTATAAAAATATAATATATTATATAAATATTATATTTTATATTATTAATTGGTATGATTATCAATATCTAATATAAAAAATATAAGATTATTTTAATTTTTTTTTACTTTATTTATATTATATTTTAATAAAATATTAATATTTTTAAATTTTTATTTTTATTTTTTTAACTTTATTTATATTTACATTTCGATGTAATAATAATTTTTTTTTTATTTTTTTTAAAAAAAAAACGGATAGATATAATAGAGAACGGAAGAAATTGTTATAAAGAAAAATAGTTTAGCAGAGTCAAACAAACAAATTCAGAATATATACGTAGTCCTCCGCCCACTGTGCGTTTCCCAACGCAATGAAATGAAAGTAACTTCCGTTGGTTCTATCTGATCTGATCTAGCCGCAGACTCTCCAACATTTCTTATTAGGTATCAATATATATAAATAAAATCCACAAAAATATCTGCGCAGGGTCACGGATACGGATTTGGATACGGAAACGGATGCAGATGTGATTGATGCTCCTTCATGTTCATGCCCACGATAGATGGTGAAAGCCTTCTTGACAACGAAACAAAACTGTTTTTTTCTGCCCTAACCCCTCAATTCTCTCCGCCTTCGCATCTAACCCACCCAACCCCCACTCACCCCCCTTTCCTCACCAGAATTTCAATTTCAATTTCAATTTTGCAGATAGATTAATACCCCCAAATCGCTCAACCTCTTCAATCAATCCGTATATATACATATATGTATGTATGTATATAGGCGAGTGTAAGTGTTCGAATTCTCGAGCATTGGAAACCTATTAATTCGGAATTAATTTTGTTGTTCTTCGATTTTTGAAATTGATTCCATCCCAATTCTATATACGCCCTCTTCCTATCCAAGCCTTTGATTTCTCTGCATACACTGGAATTGAATTGAGCCTGAGAAATTCGGGATTGGAATCGACACGCCCAAAATTAATTGTTTTTGTTCTTGCGCACCACCTGTTTGTTGATTTACCTGATGGGTAGATGAGTGTCCGATGGTTTGTTGATTTATGAGACAGGACTTCGATTCTGTTCCCGCACGCAGGTAAAGCTTGGGAAAGTTCTTCCCATTTCTGGTTATGAAGATTGAGTTGCTATCGTTTATAATTTGCTTGAAAGCTTTTTTGGGCTTTGATTATATGATGATGATTTTCTGGACTTAATACTGAGTATTTAATAATTTGTCACTCTGATTTTTCTATAATTTTGTAGGGCACTGTTGTGAGTTAAAAATAGCAGCAACTGAATTGGAGACTTAGCTATGTTAGCTTTGAACAGAAACTGTATCTGTTTGATCAATTGTTTCTTCCATTTTTCCGAATGGCATCCCCTGGAATAGTGTGTTCGATTGGTAGTTCAAAGCCCACTTTGGCAATTCCTTCGAACAAAGGAACAAGGTTTTTAACTTGTGATTGCTTGTTTTAATTAGGAAACATTGAAGTTTATGCTTTAAGGTGATAATTTAAGGTTCTAAAGTTTGATTTTGATTGTTACAGGTTTGCCTGATGCGTGGCTTTGCTTTTTGATCGTTTGCTTTAGGTTTTATGTTCAAGCTTGTTAGTTTTGTCGTGTAGCTTATTGACAGTTGAAGAAGTGTTTTGATTGAGAAAGTGAAGAAATGGGCTGTTGTGAATGTTTTGGTTTCTTGTTTACGAGGAAGCTGAAGAAGGCACCGACTGTTGGTAGGGGCATGTGCACAAGTGCTTCTCAGGAGTGTTTGTTGGATGATGAAGACGACGAGGATATGGAAGAAGGAGATGAGGACGATAGGTTTTCTAATGGTGATATGACAAGTACTGGAAATGGTGAAGAGTCTGATTTTCACACCTCATCGAAAAAATCTGAGGAGATTCTAATGCATCGAATAGACCAAGGATTGATATGCAGGGAATTTCTTGTTAAGGAAACGAGTACTCTTGTACGCTCCGAGGTGAGGTTTTGGGGACGATCCTTTTGATTTTTTTATTTTTTTTCAATTTTTGCTGCATTGAGTATAATTGCTGATTTCCCAGGACGAATATGGAAATAAAACTGTTAATGAATATGTCCGTGAACGAAAGGTTGGTGCAGGCAGCTATGGAAAAGTGGTGAGCATATTGCTGATAATATCGTCTTCTGAATTTTGCCAATGATATTAGCATTTAACCTCAAGTCATTGAAATGTTCAGGTTCTCTATCGAAGTCGCATTGATGGAAAACATTATGCAATAAAAGTATACCTTCTGCGGTGCCTACTCAAGCATTCTTGTGTTATTACTGTACAGAAATGTTATTTTATGTTTGATGCAAAATGCTTATATTATGAAGAGTGGAGGCTTCTTTTATTAAAGTTGTGTTGTGGTCATACTGATCGAGGCATAATGACCGAACATGTGAAATATTTTAAAAAGGGAAATGCTTATTGAAAATGATAACTTGGCATTATAACCTCTTATAGTGTTTGGACAGGCGTTTCACAAGTCTCATTTGTTGAAGTTACGGGTGGCTCCTTCGGAAACTGCAATGACTGATGTTTTGCGTGAGGTAATTTATAATTACTCTTTTATTTTATGCTTTTTGTGCTCATAAAATTTGTCAGGTTGTGGTTGCTTGGAACAAGGCCTAATAATCTGTGTGCGTGTGTGTGAGATACAAAATTATGAGATATGGTGTATTTATGTTTTGTTTTATTACATATCTTCTTGCAAATAAAATAAGATAAAGAACACACAATTTCATGTATATACGATGGTAAACATTAGTACATAATTCTTATGGTGTGTTTGTTTGAGGGTTTGAAGTTTTGAATAGTAAAATTTTAAATTTAAATATTTGCTTGATATGATATAAATATTTGCTGATATAATGTTTTGAATTAATTTTTGATGTAATATAAAAAATAAAAAATAAGTGTTTGATTCGATAATTTTTGAAAAAAATTAATTGAATAGTAAAAAATCTGTAAAAATCCACAGAAGAACATAACCTACGAGAAGTCCATTGCTATTGTCTCCTCCCTAATATGGCTTTATAGATGATAGATAATGATGTCAGCTTATTCGATCATGCTCTAGCCCCAGTGGCAAGTTCGTTTCTGATATAGTTGTTTTAGATCATTTTAGCTCTATATTAATCATCCTGTTTATTCACTCGGAGGCCAATGCTTTGTTTGCGTTATCTGAGCTTCATATATGCCATTGCAGGTTTTAATCATGAAAGTGTTGAGCCATCCCAATATAGTCAACCTAATCGAGGTTATTGATGACCCCTCTACCGATCACTTCTATATGGGTATTATTTGTTATTTCACTCCTGCATTGATTCTTTCTGAAAACATAGGTTGTTTTACTCTCATTCTGATCTCAAAGTTACATGTTCAGTTCTTGAATATGTCGAAGACAAGTGGGTTTGTGATGGCGCCGGTCCTCCAGGCGGTCTAGGAGAAAATACTGCCCGGAAGTATTTACGGGATGTCGTCGCTGGTTTGATGTATCTTCACGCCCATGTATGGTGCTAAGGCCATTTCTTTTCAGTTTCACTAGTCATTTTGGTATCACTTTCCTACCTATATAATCCGTCATTTTCGTCGTGGTCCTTTCTATAATGGAATAAGCTGAACGTATGTTTTATGCTTACGATCTTGAGGAGTATATTAGAACGTACATTAAGAATTAATATAGATTAACTGTAGAAGTTTGTAATTTCAAAAGAACTATTGTGAAAAATATATGTTAAATCACTTTGTGTTCTTTTTAATGCTATTTGCATTTCGATGCACGGCGTATTTGCACATTATTTTTCCCAAGGTTTTATATTTGGCTAATTTTACGGAGCCCTAACTTACTGGTAACCCATACACTAAATTTGAGTTTAACATTCCTCAGGTGGTGTTATTTAGTAGCAATGTCATAATTCGTATGCCGAACTTTTGTGGAGAAATTTATATATTATAAACCTATGTAGTCCTGAAAATTTTTCTCACTTTTTCCCCATTAACCTTAGTTTCATGGTTTCCGTCAAATATAGTGCATGAAGATATTAAATTGTTCTTACCGTTGCTTCTGTAAACCTTATTATCTACTTACAAATCCGTATTTGTTATGCAACTGACAGAATATAGTGCACGGAGATATTAAACCCGACAATTTATTAGTTACTGGTTCCGGCACAGTCAAGATTGCTGATTTCAGTGTCAGTCAAGTTTTCGAGGTATATTACTTTTCTCAGTTAAATTGCGCAGCTCTCAAATTTACATCAGTGTGTGATTTAAGTCTTTGTGGGAGAGGGAAACTCGTTGAAATCGTGATGTTGGACTTTGAAAGATTAAATGAATTTAATATGCATATATTGCCTGTAATATTGTGAAATATAAGTCCCTTCATATCATATCATCGTATACAAATATTCTAATCTTATGTTTATGGTAGTGTATAGGCCATTATGCATTCTATTTTCAGCCTATAATTTTAGTTCCATTCATTCTTTTAAAGATCAATTTATTGAGCTGTTGTTTCCCATGGAAAGAAGTATTCGATCTTTTTGAAGTAATTTAGCATAAAAATTTACTATCTTAGATCTGCTGTATACGAAAAAAAAAAACAAACAAATAAAATCAGATGGACAAACTACTTGCGGATTATTCAGGTAAACTGTACTCAATTCTTATTAATATGATTTGATTTTTCCAAATCTAAGCGAATATAAATTTACATCTCTTGTACTATGTTCTTCCTGTTCCTTGTCACTTCTACTTTCAACACTTGAAAATGAACTCCCCACTCGTCTCAGCAACTTTTTCCGAGCTACCTTTACCTGTACATAAGTCCAACTATGGCTACGAAAAGTTGTTTTTTTTCATTCCTTGATTGTTTCTAAACTTCTAACAACTGTTTGATTATTCTTAAGTTCCACTTTTATGTGTAGGATGATAATGACGTGCTACGCCGTTCTCCCGGCACTCCCGTGTTTACTGCACCCGAATGCTGTTCAGGTCAGTGCTTTTGATTATTTATTGAGAGGCTCTACGCCGCCTACAAGTTATAAATAATCCATCTTCCCCACAGGCATAACATACCGCGGAAAAGCTGCTGACACTTGGGCAGTTGGAGTCACGCTGTACTGTTTGGTTCTAGGAACGTACCCCTTCCTCGGAGAGACGTTACAGGATACCTATGACAAGGTTGATTCTTATTTCTTGGGTTAAAATTCACATATACTGTTGCGGTAAAACTGTTAAACGAGCCGAGCGAGCTCGAGTATTTGTTGTTCGAGCTTGACTTGAACATACTATCAGTACATATTTGGTTGGCTCGTTTTAAGATTGGAGCTAAAATGGTAACTCGAGCTCGGCTCGCTAGTTGGTCTTGAGCTTGAGTTTGGCTGACAAAGCTCGAACTTGGGTTCAACTCAAATTTCATACATATTATATATAATTTTAATATGAAAATTAACTAAATATAATTATATTTGCAATTTATTATAATAAAATATTTAAATTTCATTGATAGATGTAACTTTTGACATACAATATATATATAAAAAATAATATAAATATAGCATTTTTAACGAGTTCAATCGAGTTATCCACGAATAAACCTCGAGCTTGGCTCATTTACGGAAATAATAATTCTCAAGCTCGAATTTGGCTCGATTATCTCTATAAAAGAGGTGAGATGAGCCGAGTCGAGCTTGTCTGGTGAGCTACTCGATTTGTTTAACCGTTCTAGTTGCGGCGTACTTTTGTTGTAATTACTAACAATTCTTTTTGTTTCGTCCCTCAGATAGTCAACAACTCATTGTTGCTCCCAGATGAGATGAACCCTCTCTTGAAGGATCTGCTCGAGGGCCTCCTCTGCAAAGGTGCGTTTGCCCGTCTTTTTTTTTTAGTAAGTTTTGATTTTCTTGGGCAGTTTGATTATCGATTTTCTTGTTCCCAGATCCACTGCAACGAATGACACTGGACAATGTTTCCGAGCATGCCTGGGTCGTCGGTGAAGAAGGGCCGATCCCTCAGTACTCGTGCTGGTGCAAGCGCAACTGGCAACCGATAGTTCTGAACGCTGAGGCGTACTCTGATTAGGTATCTCGATTTTCATATTCGCGGTCGTTTGTGCATTGTTCTGATTAGAAAATGAAGCCGTTACTCGAGGGCGAGGTTATTTGGTTTTTCAGGATGTCAGGCACACATAGATCTCATAGACTTTGCTTTGATATTTTTCGAGTTTTTGTTTTTGTTTTTTTTGTTTTAGCCACTCGAAGTTTAGATTGGAGTAGATTTTCGTTCACGATATCGACAATCTTAACCTTGTCCCGGAGTGAAAATTTATACAATGTTCTCATGTTGTTGTGGATTACTTTGTTAGCCGTTAGAATTTAAATCCGCTTGTTATATTAATACAAATTGTATGTTGTTTGTACTTATAGTTATATAAAAAATATACGATAGTGCTGTCAATATTGTGCTAAATTATAAAATTAGTATTGTCATGTTAGAATGATAGGAGAATTTTGCATCGACTATGGATGCTTATAGTGATAGTAATCATGTGGAATTGCAATATTGAGGCTATGTTTATATAAAAAAATTTAAGTTTTGATAGCATTCATTTATCTAAAGTGGCCTTAAGAATTTGTAGAAGTTTAACATACAATTTTTCAGTCTCTATGAACATTGAATAAAATAAAATAAAATTCTATAGTACAGTACACAAAGTAGATGTTGTGTGCCTGTAAAAAAAAATAAAAATAATAATGATATATTTGTAATTTAGATAAAAGTTAAAAAATATTTTATTATTAATGTATAATTATATATTTTTTTTTAAAAAAAGTACATTGACGTTTTATTATTGATGTATGATTATTTTAAGGAAATACTATATATTTATATTTATAACAATAGGGGTTTAAATAATGGTAATTTTAATTACAAATAAAACCAAACTGATTTATTTTTTTATATATATTTTTTTCATTCTTTATTTACATAGCTACAATTTTTTAAATATGTACTAAATTGGTATAAAAAATAAATGACTTTTAGAATCAGGTCAAAAATATATATTAATATCATATTCATATTGACCGAGAAAAAAAAATATATACTATTTTATAACATTTAATTTAAAATATTATTACATGAAACCAAACAAATTAAACATACAAACCCATATTATTTTGTTATATAAAGTATTTGAGAGTTTAATTTACAGTTAAAAATAATTATTTTATACCATATAAATACATATTAATATTACTATAAATTAATTTCTAATATAATATAATATAAAATAAATATAAATATTTTATTTTTAATATAATTTTATTTGAATACTAAAACTCACATAAATATTTGAATATTTTTAAATATAAGACCAGAGCCTCCCCTGAACACACGTGCGACAGAGTCGAGTATCTGACAATTGCACGTCCATGGAACTCACTCTCACCAAAACCCTAACTCCGCCTGCAATGGAAGAAACCGCCAATTCCTCCGACCAATCATCGATTCCAATGGAAAACACCTCTCCTTCTTCCCCCGCCGATCCCAATCCCAATCCGTCGGAGAAGCGAAAGCGAGAGTCAGAACCAGAACCGGAGCCGGAAACCACCTGCGACCCGCCGCCGCCGCCGCAGCAGCACTATCTGTGGAAAACTACTCTCTGCTCATACTTTAGAAGAACTGGCGGTACGTGCAGCCACGGCGAATCCTGCAGGTACGCCCACGGAGAGGCGGAGCTGCGGCCGCGCCCCGACAACACCTGGGACCCTACTTCCGATAGGGCGAAGAAGATGGCAAGGACCGACGAGAAGGAGCCGGCGGAGGAGAAGCCGGCGGATGTCGGCGTAATGATGACGGATGCATTGGAGGCTGAGGGAGAAGAGTCCTCTTCGGGATTGTCTAAATGCTTCGTAAATTTGCCGATGAAGTGGGGTGCCGATAATCTGAGGAGCTTTCTCGGCCAACAGGTTTGAAATCTATTGGCTCATTTGATTTGTTCGATTCAGTAATTGCAAATTTGGAGCAGTCAAAAGTTCAAAACACATTTTTAGATTTGCATATCTCTGCAAAACAGCATTTTTGGTCTTACAATAGGTCATTTCGGGGTTGTTTGGTTATGATGTAAGTTCGGATATTTTATTTGATTTTTGATATAAATAGTATTTTGATATTAATATTATGTGATAGTAAAAAATGCATTTTTATTTTTAGCGGTACCGGCTGAATGTAAAATTGATTTGAAATTGTAATCAAACACACCTTTCCCGAGGTTTGAAGTTTGCGGGCTAAAAAACTTTGAAGCAAACAACTATTTTTACATTTGAAACATCATATTATATAATTAATTTAAAATTTTAGTATTCAAAACCAAAACTAAGAACCCAAACCCCACAAACAAACACAAAGCTAAACATATGTCTGGAGTTTCTATGGGTAATTCTGGGCAATGAATTTATTTTTATAGGAATAGTGAGGATTGCATTGTAATTAAATGAAAAAAAATCTCAAGAACTTAAAGAACATAGCTATATTTATGGCTAATTTCTTGGTAATGTGGCAATAATAAGAATTGTGGTGGACTGCTGTTGATGATCAATGGATTTTGGGACTTAATTTAAAATGTAACTGACAAGAAATATTTTTATGAATGCGTGTTATGTATTTTGTGTTTAAACAGTGGTTTCACAAGATGTTTTGCGGTAGAAAATAGTGTATTCTTTTTTATAGAAATCGTGGGGACTGAATGTAAACCGAAAAAAATCTCAAAAAGAATGCAGCCTATGAGTTTGTCTTTTTCTTTTTTCTTTTTTGTTTCGATGTTTTTTTAAGTGAAATAATTGTTGGGTATGATGGTTCGAATGAAAAATGGGTGTTGGGTATAATTATTTTTGGAGGGAAATTAGTAGATTCAGTAGTAAAAATTAGGTATATAAAAGATTGAATAGTAAAAATAGGGATAAAATACAGTAGATTCGAGTAGTTGTTGAGTTGGCATAATATATATATATATATATCTATATATATAAATATATTTCTCTAATGTGAAATAAAATTTGTCACTTCAGGGCATTCTGTTTAAATCAGCTAAGAAGAAGAAAGGCATGATTGTTGGATTTGTTACTTTCGAAAATGCAGCACAAGTCAAAAAAGCTGTGGAGGTAAGTGTAGGAATTTTAACACTTTTATGAAGCCTGAAATTTCTTCTAATAGTCGATGTGTTACAGGAGCTTGATGGGAAGACAGTTGGCAACAACAGAACTTTAAAGGTTTCAGATGTAATCCCTCGTGCGTTTGAGCAAAATAACAAAGCTGCATTGTCTAGCCGTTCCACCAGCGAAACTGAAAAGTTATCTGGAGACGGTGAGGTAACCGAGTCTACCAACAATGATGAGGTTGATGATGATGGAAATTTAGTCAGTGGTTCGGTTGCTAAGGGTAGAAGTGCCCGTGATGTAGTGACTCCTCTTGCTCACATGTCCTATTCGGATCAGCTAGAGCACAAGAAGAACTCTCTGGCGCAAATTCTCAAACGATTAGTTAGTAAACTGATTCCTCATTTTCCCTTGTTGTCGAAAAGAATCTTAAATATTTTTATCTGATTTGTTTCGATTATTAGTTTGAGCTTGGGGTCATGAATTTGTGATTGCAGACTCGTAATGCGCGCAAGGCTTGTCCACAAGGTGTTTCGCTTCCTGGATGGATTCTTAAAGCGAGGGAAATAGGTTATGCTCTGCTGTATCTAAGAAGTTGATTGAAATGGTTATTCATTTTGCTGATTAACTATGACGTTGATATGCCATGTTAATTGTATTTATTCATCTACCGGTTGTCGCACCTTTAAGCTCTTACAGTGATGGCTTACTCAAATGTTTGTTTTAACTTTTGACGTTCAGGTGGCCTTCCTTGCAAGTTGGAGGGTATAATCGAATCACCTATTGTTAATGGATATCGGAACAAATGTGAATTCTCTGTTGGGTGTTCCTTGCAGGGAAAACGTACAGTTGGATTTTTACTTGGGAATTTCAGGTGGCCTGAGATTAACAAGCAAAATTATTTCAGTTTCGCTTTTAGTCTTTTACACTTAATAAGAGTTAGAGTATTCATGTAGGGAAGGCATAACTGCTGTTGAGGAACCGGTCGACTGTCCGAATGTTTCCAGAATTGCTTGCAAATATGCTGGTATCTTCCAGGAGTTTTTGCAGCAGTCAAAATTGCCTGTATGGAACAGATTGAACAATACTGGATTCTGGCGTCAACTCACGGTACATGGATTCTATACATGAGACAATTTTACATTTGGATGCATTTTCGAGTGCTTTTGTGTGAAATGATGAGTGTTTGTAGTTTTGAATAGTAATGTTCTTTTTTCTTAATAATATATTTGATTTGAATTAAAATATGATCGAGTACAATGATATGATTGGGTAAGATTGATGGTTAGTTATAAGGTGTGGGGTAAAGGATTTGTGAGTGTAAAAAGTTTACAATTTTAATTTGAAAAAGTGAATAATGATTAATGATTTTTTAAGTATTAATTTTTATGTTTTATTTGTTAATTTGAAGTGAGGGGAATTTGTAATTTTGTGAAAGTTATGTTTGGTGGATTAGTTGTTTTCAATTTCTCTTGTTTGAACAATGTAAATCTAAACATGGAATTCGAATGTTGAGCGAAGTCCTCTTGTAGATAATTAAATGGAAACTGAATATATGTGACCCGATATTAAAGAGGGGGAAAAAGAGTAATCCTTGCATTGCATTCTATTCACTTATGAACTAGAAAATAAACAATACCTCCTTAAGTGACCGTTGACAATGTTTCTAAATAGGTTCGTGAAGGCAGGGGACCTTGTGCAGTGGCTGAGGTCGGCGATCCCGAGTCTGGTATTTCAGAGGTTATGCTGGTTGTTCAGGTTCATATTATATAGCCTCTTTTGAATTTCATACTTTCAACACGATCACTTTGAACGGTATCTTCCAAGTCATCTGTTATTAGCACACAAGTAGGACAAATATTTCAAGAAGTTTATTTCCAGTGTCCTCGATACAAAGTTTGGGGCTGTTGATAATCAGTCAAAAAACATTCATTGTTTTTTTAATTTTATAATGCAGGTTTGTACAGTAAGTTTTGAAGATGGAGAGGTTAATGATGAACTTCAACGATTGGCACAAGCATTTTCTGTGGGATCTAGTTCGGAATCTCCTTCTTTGCCTCTAACAGCACTTGTAATTCAGGTAAGAATCATAAGCAAATGTTACATTTGTTTTGTAGCATCTGCTTATAATTTTGTTTTGTATTGGGGATTTTATGTTTCTCCCTAGAGTTGACTTTTTAAGTTGGATTAGATATAATTGTTGTACCAATTGCTTGCGAAATTTGATAAACATAGCTCGATCAAATCCATTAGTTCCTAGTTTGCGTGAACAAAATGATATATATATATATATATTGTAATATGTTGGGTATGCTTTTTAGCTTCAAGGAGATAATTGGAAGGATGTTAAATGCATCTACCTTGAAACTTTAACTTCGAATAATGTTGTGTAATGTTTTACAATATCAAATATCCCCTCTACAAAAATCGTACCAATATTCCTATGTGCTACATGCAGGATCATACAGGAATATCAAATGCTGCACCATCTGATGTCCCTTTGAAAGCTGTGTATATTCGTAACGAAAGTAACTCCGGGCTTGATGTGGTTGATGAACTTGTAGAACCAAGAGTCCATGATCACCTGAGTAATCTTCGGTTTTCCATTTCTCCATCAGCCTTCTTCCAGGTTTAACCTGATGATTTTCCAATTTGATGTGTATAGTTATATTCAACACCCTTTCTTATTACCAATGAATGAAAAAAAACATAATAATAACAATAATAAAAGTGGCGTGAAAAAATTTGTTATACCATCTAAATCTGTATTTCTTTGATCAGGTTAACACCCTTGCAGCTGATAAATTGTATTCACTTGCTGGGGACTGGGCTGGACTTAATTCCGACACCTTACTCTTTGATATATGCTGTGGGACGGGGACAATTGGCCTGACTTTAGCCCATCGTGTTGGTATGGTAATGGCATAACCCATTCTAAGCATATTTTTCATTCTTTGTGTAGCCTAAATGGACTGGTTGTGTACGAATTAGATTAAATTATTTTAGTATAAAATATTTAGATGATTATTGAAGCCTCGCATTGTATTTGATTGGTATATACTTGTGTCATTTGGAAATTCGAAATTGGAATGTTATTGAACTTGAAGAGAAAATACCAACAAGATTTCTTCTCACGAAATTTAAGAATCCTCTATTGCTTTTAGAGATTTCTGAAGTACACACTTTGAGCCATAGTTTAATAATGTTATTGGTGGTCGGATTGAGCCAAGTTCAACAATATTTGCTCGGTGATCTCAGTCGATATTGGATTTTGTTGTATATAATATATATATATTGAATTTGAAATGGGAGTCTTCAATCTCAGAAATACTCAAAGCTGTGTTTGTATTGATTTCGATGAAAAATTCCATTCCAAGTATGAAGTTTTCAAAATTTGGATTTTATTTTGTAATTGATTGGTAACTCGGGTTCTTTGAAAGGGTCCTGTCAGTTGAATCATGTTAAACATTCTCTCCCTTCATGTATGCTCTGTTACAGAAAATAATTCCAGCTTCCGATTTCTTCAGGTTGTAGGTGTTGAAATGAATGCTTCCGCCGTTGCAGATGCCCAAAGAAATGCAGAAATTAACAGCATAAAAAATTGTCGATTTGTCTGTGGAAAGGTCAGAATTTACTCTTTGGTTAAAACCAAGCAAATAATACCTCACTATGTTACCATTTTCTTGAAAAAGAATTTTCCATTTCATTTTCTTTGGATCGGATAATGATTATTGATAATATATTTGTTGATCAACTCTGTTTCTGTATTATTAGGCTGAAAATGTTATCGGGTCGCTGATGAAAGAATACCTATCTTTACCTCAAAAACAAGACGATATCAGCGATACAACTCAGATTGCAGAAACTGAAGCTGTTTCTGCCGAAGAAAATGTCGACTCTGCTGAAAAAGTGCTCGAAAAAGGATCTGACCCGACTGTTGACTGCAGTACGAAAGATGACAGCCATTTGGACGAGCACAACACTTCCACTACCAGTAATGTTCGCCAATTCAAGAATGTTGTTGCTATTGTGGATCCCCCACGAGTCGGGCTTCATCCCACTGTAAGTCATATAACTGTATATATTTTCACTGAGGCGGTCGTCTCTCTCTTTTCTTTTTGTTTTATATAATGCACTCATTGTGACGGCCATCGGGTTATTCTAAATCTTTTGTGGTTAAATGGACGCATGAAATTAAATCCTGAGTTTTTTTCCTAAACAAATCTTTGCTCATCTAGCTCTAGATTCATATCTTGAATTTATACTGTTGGCTAGAAGGCCCTGGGGTTTATTTATGCTCACTTTTCTTATTTGTCCGTGGTAAAAAAAAAAAAAAAATTCTTTTTTAGTAAAGAATCATACGTTATTAAAATCTATGCCCAACTCAAATGAACATATTTTTAGATGACGAAGTAGTTGTACTTTCGTATGGTGACCGTTATTTTTGTGCTGATGCATGCTTTTTGTATCCATCTATCTTTCTACCTATATATATATATAAATAATTTTGCAGTGATATCTTGTTCGATTCTAGCTAGATTTCTCGATTATTGATTGATTTATTTATTTCTTTATTCGGTGTGAATTCAGGTAATCAAAGTTCTTCGAACTCAAACTCGGCTGAGGAGGCTTGTGTAGGTCACGTTGTACTTTCTCTTGTTCTCAATATTACTATAAGCGCGCCAAATGTAATTTCTCCCTTCTTGCACAGTTACATTTCCTGTAACCCGGAAAGTCTAGTGGCAAATGCCATCGAGCTCTGCACGCCGTCATTGGTGGAGAAAGGTGAGAAGGGGAACAACAAGAACAACCGGGGATGGAAGAGTATGAGCAGCGCGGGGCTGGCTAGACAGAGAGTGAAGTCGATGCCTGTATCTGAGCCGTTTGTTCCCATCAAAGCCATGGCAGTCGACTTGTTTCCCCATACGCTGCACTGCGAATTAGTGATGCTCCTCGAGAGGTAAATATACCATTACTCGATGATACATTTTCGCCTAAATTAATTAGCGATGAATGACTCTGGAGTCGCTCCACATTTTTGTTGTTGCTCGTCGCATCGCATTCGACTTACGATTGTTTTTATTTATGCTACTATGTTCGAGATGTTAAACCTTTTTCTTCAGTGTAATTTTTAAAGGCATTGTTTACATAACAAATTATGGAATTTTGGCGCTATATTATTAAATATCAAATCAAATATATACGTATAGTTTTTAAAATGTCACATCAAAATAGTTCGAATTGAATTCAAAAATATTTATTTTGGTTTTGGTATTTTATTTTATTTTATTTTTTATAATATGAGAATTCGAAGCCGCTACTCGAAAATAATACGTATTAGATAAATCTCTGGTCGAAACTAATAATCATATATTTTGTTTGGATGTGATTCGCAGTAAAGCAGGTGAAATGTATATTTGGATAAATGTATTTTTATGTTTGGTACGAAAAAACAATATGTTTTGTGGTAAATATAATATATGGCCGTAGCTACAATAGTATTATGTTGAACAACACCCAATAAATTTATAAAAAAATACATGACATTATTATTGATAGACATATATTGTGATTATTTTTATACTGTATTAAAAAATAAAACACGGTGACGAAACTAAAAATAGATTTGAGTGAATAAATTGTCTACCATACTATTTTTTATTTTTTTATTTTAGGCTACAGAGAAGGTGTTGATAGAATGCATTTTTTATTACTATTATTATTAAATGTGAGTTTTATATTCAATGGAATTGTAGGTTTTATGTAAAAAGTGTAATTTTTATAAGGGTAAATTATATAATAGGGAAAAAAATCAATTCCAAATTGATAATTTTGGTCATAATATAATTTTTTTTTCAATTTTAGTGTTTATTATAAAAAATTAACGAAAATTACTCGTGTGGACGTAACAGAATTTGCCTTGACAGCTGACTTGGAAAGATTGGAACCGGGAAGATACTGTTGGAATTGGGCAAAATTTCCGCCCGAACCTAATATCCAACAAATTAGATCCGATAAAGCAAATCACACTGGGGGAATCATATGTGACAGATGGACTTGGAGCCACCCCATGCAGCAACACTATTCTATTTTATTGTTTGATCCTTCAAGAAGTAACTATTTTATTATTTGTCAATATCTCAAAATACATATGTCCAACTCAAATGATGAATATTCATTGATACCGCAAAGAATGAAGCAAATCAAAGAAGCAACAATGAATCAACCAAATGTGAGAAACTAATCTCTAGAAATTTCCTAATCCAATCTGCTGTGCGTCAAAATGCTACCGCTCCACAAAATATGAAACTCTATAAGATACATTCACACACACACATATATATATATATATAAAAAGATATTTACTTAGTATGTATGTGAATCATGCGTGCGTACTGCGTGCGATCTACAGATCTTCTCTCCGCGCGGAGTATCCGTACTGCGACCGCCGAATGTTACGCTGCCTCTTCCTGTACACCATCGCTCCGAGCATCAAAACGCCGGCCGCCGCAATGACGCCGATCGCCACGCCGGCCTTCTTTCCACCGTTCATTCCTCCGGATGACTCATCCGCTGTCAGATCTGCAGCACCGGACTCATGACGAACGTCTCCAGCCACAACCGGCGCCGGAGCCGGCGATCTCGAATCCTCCTCCTCTCCGCCTTCCGGAGACGGCGCAGGAGAACTCGAATTAAGCGATGGATCTGACGGAGCCGGCGCCGGCGCAGGCGCAGGCGGAGATTCAATTTGCGGCGACGGCGACGGAGCCTCCGGCGAAAAAAGCGCTGGTGCAGGCGAAGGCGAGGAAGAAGGGGAATATTCCGGCGAATGTAGGGAGAATGCGGAATGCGTGAAGAGGAGAGAAATGGCGGTTACGAGAGCAAAGGAAATATGAATAAGGGAAGAATTAGGTGCGGCCATTTTGTGCAAAGTGCAAACTGAAGTGCCCAAAAAGTAGTGTTTATATACTGACTTCAGAGTCAATACTGGCTCAAATTAATAAATTATTTATTTTATTGCTTGTAAATTAATTAATTAATTAAATTAGTATATATATATATATATATATATATATATACTCGGCCTGATTTGTCACTTTTTTGAATTATAAAGCAAAGGAAAGTATGCGTAAGGTTGAAGATGGAGTAACGAAAGCCTCAAACTTAGCTGACTTTGTTAAAGAAAAATTGTTTAAAAAAAAGTTATTCAAGGGAAAATTAATTATGTAATTTTGTGCCACGTAAACTAAAAAATACTCCCTCATTTCCCCCAAACACTCTGCAATATTTCCAAAATAAAAAATAATTAATTATAGTTAATCTCTACCCCACACTTTATCCGCTCACATCATCCAAATAAAAAAATAAAATATATATTTCTCTCTCCATTATATCACCTCATTTATAAATTATCCTACTTAAAACTACCCACCTAAAAACCCGTGCCAAAACCAAATATTTCACCATATTTGGGATGGAAGGAGTAATATTTTATCTATTTCATATATTTTATACCTGACATAACAAATATTAACACAATATATAGCATAACACATAATATAATTCCATGTGCCACAATATATGGTGTCCACACAACCGATATTTTTATATAACATATAATATGTTATTTGTCTTGTAACAAAATACTAATGGCTTCATATTAATGTGCTAATTTTGCCGTATGTTATTTATCTTGAATGCTAATTGTTTGGAGTGAGTATGCAAATTTGGTCAAAAAAAATACAGTCTTGATTTGACTAATCAGTACCCTAATCGCGATCATTAATCCATATTTTATATGTTATCAATTAAAAAATAAAACATGAATAATAATAATAATAATAACGACGACGACGACGACGATGACGAGGGAGGTGAGATGTTTGAGGGCCATCTTGGTTTGTTCTATTTGTGACTGTCTAACCGAACTACAGCTGATTTTTTACCTAATTCTTTTATATTTATTAGAATGTGTTATACTAATTATTTTTATTTATATCATCATTATAGGGTCTATTTAATTGTTTAATTCTTCTATATTTCTAAAATATCATTACATATGTAATCGACAAAAATTAACTTTCACATGATCGGTGTGTTTTAAGTCAATCGAAAAGTTAATGACAATGATTCTACGACTGACTTAAAAAATCTTTGGACTAGTCTCATAACAAAAGAAAATAACATAAAGAGAAGATTGGAATTCAATAAAATGCTGAATTTAGATATCGAGATGTATAAAATGAAGGTAACGATAGAAAGGCTAAAAAGTAAATATTCTAAAAAAAACTAAAGGTATAATAAAGAGGGGGAGCTACGGAGTTGATTTGAAAAAATCAGCAATGTATTGATTTTTCAAATCAGCACATGTAAAATATAAAAATAGCTTATACCTTTACTACAAACAAAATAACAAATAAATATGTTGTTTGTTTATAATTACAGCGTATATTGTATAAAAGTATGTCATATGCTAAAATCAACTGTTGTATGTGATGCGTGAGACTGTATCATATGTTGTTAGTTCATGTGTTTATTTGTATTAAATTAATATAAATATTGTGCTACCAATAGTAATATTATGTATTGTTTGTTCGCAGCACATTGAGTGTTGGTCAAACACAATACTGAATTTTAAGTTCAACATGGTAACCTAATTATAATAAAGATATAAATACTGAATTTTTGGGGTGTGGGTTGTCTTCTTCCCCATAATTTTATACCTTTTAACTTCATAAGTCTCATAAATATTACATTAAGTTACCCTAAATCGGCATCATCAACACATTTAAACAATTCAGACAACACTTGATAATATATTAAATATATGTTCTTACAATATATAATAGAATTTTACATAACGTAGTATATTATTAATTTCAGCATAATAAATATATTTATACAACACAATATATAAGTTGCATAACACATATTCTTGGGCATGGATCACCTGCTCAACATATGTTATACATGTAATTAACATATATTTATACATATCTCATCATATCTATAACACAACGTATGATATATTATATGTATGACATATATTGATTCGATTAAATAAGTACAATGTTGATTTGGCCGGATCACCGCAGAATCCACAGTCTAAATTTTTATACAACACAATATTATGCTGCAATATCAACAATAAATAGTATTTTTCATAACCTTATTTTTATTTAAATTGTTGATTGAAATTCAATTAGTACCGTAACCATTCCAACAAACCTCGATGAAACAATTCGATTTTCTAGTGACAACAATAAATAGTATTTTCATAACCTTATTTTTATCCAAAAAATTCTATACATATAATGTTCCTTCAAAAGAACATAAACTCTCAAGCTAATATATGTAAATATTTAAAATACGGGATAAGTTTCTCAACCCCAAATTATATTACTAATTTTCGGCATAAGAGCATATTAAAATTCCAAGTTGAGAAAACTAGGACACTCAATCGAGTATGTGAATGCAAACTAATATCGAATTTGGGACAACCTTGGCTATTGTCTTACAACATTAATCTTCGACATAAAACACGGCACATTGACGGCGAATTGTTGTAAGAAGCTGCTACAAGTCAAGAAAGAGATCAATGAAGGAACCAAGCTCATATCTCGATCTTGATCTTGATCTTGGTCGTGGCAATCCTCGACTTCCTCTTCCTTGATCGTCTCGAGTGTAAGAGAAGCCCGCGACGAATACGACGAGGGCTTTCGAGGGATCAAAATTGGGGCAGGAGCTCTCTCTATGTAGCCATAAAAATTACACATTTTCTTGTTCTTGTACATTATAGTAATCTATTGTTAGCTTTTCTTACATAAATTGGAGTTGTTCTTGCAAATATCACTCACTATATATAGAAAGGGGTGGGTGGGAAAATATCTGCCTGAAATCTTATTAGTTTCCTGAAATTAAGGTAAGAAGTTGTGGACGGTGGAGAGAGGTGCCACGTGTCCTGATATGATATTTAGATTCCTACGACAGAGGGACAAAATAGGGGTTTTGGTTTTTGGCTTTTTGTGTGACTAATTTTGTTTAGAAACTTCTATTTGGGGACACGTGTCTTGTTGTGGTAACGTGTGTTGGAATGGATGTTTTGAAAGTATCTTTTATTGGTTGGTGACCTAATAAATTATTGTGAGAATTGATGAGAGTTTATAGGTTTTTTTTTTTTTTTTTTTTTTTTTTTATGTTAGATGTGAAACGTTGCATTAATAATATAAAAATAATATTTTGTATTCGATTTTTTATAAACAAATAAATTATATATTTTTATTTTAATTAAAAGTATATTTTTTGCTATTTTTTATAACGCTAAACCAGTTAAAACTTATGTTGAAAAATATGAGATATAATTGGACGGAAAGGGACTATATGTTGTATGAGCGATGTATTGTCAATTTATTCATTATATGTGTATTGTTTTGAATTTATATTATGGATCCATGGGTTGTATCGAACAAATTTTATAAACAAAAATGCAAATTATTAGCATAAATGAATTAGTTCAAATAAACTCAAATTAATAATACCAAAATCGAAAAAAGAAAATTTAACACTAAGAATAATCAAGGTGTTAAAAATTTTGGGGGAAAATAATGAGATTGTGTTATTGACAATACAAAACAGACTCATAAACTCAAATCTAAGTAATCATCAAATCTAGATATAAATCTACTAAATCTAAAATTGAATATTTAGAATATCCCAACACAAGGCAAAAACTGAAATTCGAAAAATTGAAGAAACCAAAATAAACACACAGCAGGCTAAATTTTAATTAAGCAATTAGGCACTCCCAGTGTCTTCGAATTTGCACGCCCACAAACACATTCCATTTCTTGACACGAGTCTTTTATCATTTTAATTTTTTCATTATTTTTTTTTTTTTTTTACAACATGTGAATCCGTATCCGCTATTTCACGAGTATGTTATGGGTAAACTTTCGATCAAATCTAACGTCTCAATATTTATAAGAGATTAAAATAGAATATTATAAAAAAAATTATAAAAAAAAAAAGTGAAAAATATATATTTCATCGATCTTCTCACATTTTCTATTTCTCTATCTATATTCCACTTTGATCCGTCATACATCTTATATATATCATTGTTTTTTGGAAAAATAATAATTATTATATACTTTAATTATATTTTATATTTTGTCATTTATTTTTCATTTTGTTAAATAATTACCTTAATTTTAATGTATAATTATTTATATTATACTGTAATTAGTTTTGTTGATATATTTTTTAAATTTACAAATAAATATTTGTACACTAGTTTTTTTAAATGAACCGATCCATATAAATATTATTAAAAATAAAATATACATGCACGTCAACAGAATATATATACACTTATTCATTAGCAAAAGATTAATCTTTCAATATAAAATATTATTTTTTATATTATCAACATAATTTTTTATATTTAAACATATAAATTAAATTTATACATTAAAAAAAAAAAAAACACACAAACACAAACAATTGAATCTTTCCTAAATTCAATCATGTCTAAGGTGTACATGACACAAAGCATAGTACCATCAAATTTATATATAATTTATTTATAAGAAAAAAAAATTTATAACTCAAAATTGGAGTACCATCAAATTTATATATTTCCTCTGTCCCAATACAATATTCTTATTTATCATTTTTGTTCGTCTCAAAACAATAGTCTCATTTCTATAAGTAATCATATCACTATAAAACTACCCTTACTTTTTCATTATTATTACACAATTGTCACTACTTTTTACACTAATACACTCATAAGGACAAAAAAGTCTTTTACTCGTACTTTTTACCCACTACCAATATAATATCAATATTCCTTAAATCTCGTGTCAAACACAACCCAAACTATAGTTTTGAGACAGAGGGAGTATAATTTATTCATAATAAAAAAAAAAAAAATATATCAAATCAAAATTTTA